GATGGGCGGAGGAGGAGTGTGAGGACGTGGTGGAGGAGGGGGAGGAGGGGGGGGAAGAGGAGGTGGGGGAGGACGTGGAGACTTAAAATGGTTGGTCCGTTTCGCCTGAGACATCCTCACAGTGCTCCGCTTCGTCTGAGACGTTCCCAGAAAATTGGGGGCCCAGATGCGGTTCGCAATGTTTTGACGTGCGTTTCGTTCAGGGTTTCCGAGATGCCCTGGCTTGATATGCGCCATTTGCTTATTGTGTGACATCCTCAGAACAACAGCGCTCATGCGTGGGCACAGCGGGTCGTGCTACGTGTGCCAGGGTGTTCGGCGCTGAACTTTGTGGGGCTCGTGCCTGTAGCGCTGAACCCTCCGGGGCTCGTGCTACACCGTGTTCGGAGCGCTGAGCCTCGTGGAGCTCGTGCTCAGCGCACATGCGGCGCTGAACCCTCCGGGGCTCGTGCCAGCAGTGCTGACTGAACCCTCCGGGGCTCGTGGTACACCGTGTTCGGAGCGCTGAGCCCTGAGGGGCTCGTGCTCGGAACGCATTCGGCGCTGAACCCTCAGGGGCTCGTGCCAGCAACGCCGAACCCTCTGGGGCTCGTGGCAGTAGCGGGAGGAGGGCCTGCGCCAGTCGAAGAGGAAAAAGGCGAGGGGCAAGCGAAATTGATTTTCATGTGGGCTCCCACCGTCGGCGTATACATGTATATGTATATGTATATGTACGGCGTATACATGTATATGTATATGTATTCTCATACGCACCTCTCCGAGGGAGTAGAGCTCAGAGGGGATTAATGCGTCCGTGCGTCCGTGCGTGCGTGCGTCTTCGATTTTCCCGGCCGTTTCGCTCGGGACATCCTCGAAATTTTGAAAATCGGTGGCACCCCTCACGCAGATCGTGAAGGAGAGGTCCAAAAACACATAGGAATTTCAACATTTTAACATAAAACCTTCAAAAACACATTGTAATTTCAATAAGTTTGACCCCGATTCTCAGAGAATGGCGGTTTCGCCTGAGACATCCTCCCAAAATCGAGCCCCAGACCCCTCCTCGGAGCCTCCTGGGGGCCTCCTGGAACCTCCTGGGGCTTTCTGGACCTTCTGGTACCCCAGACCCCGCCTCGGAGCCTCCTGGAGTTCTCCTGGGCCTGCTGAGGCCGCCTGGGGCCTCCTGGGGCCTCCTGGGGCCTCAGAACTACATGCACACACAGAGACACAAATCACGCCTAACACATCACACGCTAGACACACATAACATACACACACACACCACCGACAACACACAAAAAGCACGCACCACACAAAGCACACATCACACACGCACACACACACACACATACACAACACTCACAATCCTGGGGCCTCCTGGAGCCTCTTCTGGTATCCAAGTCGGGCCTCCTGAGGCTTCCTGGGGGGCCCTGGTACACACATCGCAAGGTGTGGCAACCTCATTTGCGCTCGAGTGCGACTTCGCTGTTGCATGTCACTCCTGCTTCAAACGCCCCTTCAGCTTGTTGTATGAGCCTGGGCACACACGTGCCACTTGTATGTATATGTCTATGTTTATATCTATGCCTATGTATATCTATTATATGTATATGTTTATCGACATACATAAATGTATATATATGTATATTTATATGCAGTTGTATATGTATATGTAAGTGTAAATATAGATGCACATGTATATGTATATGTACATATATAGGTATATGTATATGTCGAGGTATACATGTACGTATGTGTATACGTGTGTGTATGTGTTTAGATATTTGTATATACAATTACATTTGTATGTATATATGTATGCTTGTGTGCATGTATGTATGGTTGCATTCATGCATGTATGCATGTATGTATGTCTATATATATATGGATGTATTTATGTGTGCATGCAGGTATGCGTGTATGTATGTATGTATGTATGTATATCTGTACATAATGCATATAAGGTAGGTTTGAATGTATGCATGCATGTATGTATGCATGTATGTATGCATGCATCTATGTATATACTGATGTTTGTGATATAGGTACATACGTATGTATGTAGGTCGATGGATAGGTAGGTCGGTGGGTATACGTGTATGCATTCATGCATGCATGTATGCATGCATGCATGCATACATGACTGTTTTTTTTTATGTACGTTTGTGTATATATTTATATTTGTTTACATACATTTACACATACGTATATATGTATGCATGCATGCATGTATGTATGCATGCATACATGCATTGATGTACATGCTTCTTTGTATGTATGCATGCATGCATGCACGTACGAATGGGTGTATGCATGTATGTATGTATGTATGCATGCATGCATGCATGTATGTATGTATGTGTATGTATGTATGTATGTATGCATGCATGTATGCATGCATGCATGCATGCATGCATGCATGCATGCATGTATGTATGTATGTATGTATGTATGTATGTCTGTATGTCTGTATGTCTGTATGTCTGTATGTCTGTATGTCTGTATGTCTGTATGTCTGTATGTCTGTATGTCTGTATGTCTGTATGTCTGTGTGTATGTATGTCTCTCTCTTTCTTTCTCGTAAGGGCTTCACCCTCTGCCGCGGGCACCCTGTTACTGGTGCGTGCGGCTGCGTGGATCGGGCTGTGGTCTTCTCGTGGCAGGCTTCTCGGCAGCGTCTGCGGGTCATTCTTGGAGCTTTCTGGGAGCCGTTTTGGAGCTTCTTGGGGCATACTTTGGGTCTCTTGGGGGTCTCCTCGGGGGCCTCTTGGGGGCCTCTTGGGGGCCTCTTGAGGCCTCTTGGGACCTTCTTGGGGCCTCCTGGGGCACTCGGGGCGGAAAGGTCGAGTTTTCGGTTTGCGGATTCCCTCCTTGGGATCGTCTCAGGGCCCTTTTGGGCCGTTTGGGGCGCTTCTTGGACCGTCTTAGGGCCCTCTTCGGCCGTCTTGGAGCCGGTTTGGGGGCCTCTTTGGCCGTCATGGGAGCTTCTAGGGCCGTCGTGGGGCGATCTTGGGAACCTCTTGGTCCGTCTCGGAGCGTCGGGAAGCCGAAAAGGCGAGAAGGCCAAACACCTTCGAAAACGCCAGGAAAATCATATATTTTTGCTTCGTGGGGCCTTTTGAGGCCTCTTGGAGGCCACTTGGGGCCGTCTGGGCAGCATCTTGGGCCGTCTTGGGGCCATCGTGGGCCATCTTGGGGCCATCTTGGGCCGTCTTGGGCTCCTGAGGCTCTCTTCGGAGCCTCTTCGGGCTATCCTGGAGGCCTCTCGGGCCGTTCTGGCCGCGCGGTGGCGTCACCATGAGAATCCTGGGGTGGCCTGGAGCAGCCAGGATTTGAGGTTCACCCCCCCCGTTGGCTGTTTGGTGAAGCGGCGGGGCCCTCTAGCAGACAGTAAACAAGGCAGGAAACAGGACTGGAGAGACAAAGCCAAACAACAAATGACAACACATAACAAACACATGACAGCAGACCGCCCACACAACTTCGCAGCCTTGCGCGCCCGGAGGGGGCCGGCGGATATATATACACATATATATATGTATATACATACATACATACATACATACATACATACATACATACATACATACATACATACATACATACACCTTGCGGCGTTGGGGGAGAGAGTGTCCGCGCGTGCGTCTGCGCTCTCTCCTCCTGGCAGGCCCTGTCTCCTGCCCAGCCTCTGCACTGCATGCGAGGCGTCGCCCTGCCGCTCGGCTGCCGCCTGTCGGCACCGCGCTGCCACCACCTGCGCCCCCTCCGCGCCTGCCTCCGGGGGCCCCTCGCTTTGCCATCGCTTGCTGTACTCCTGCACTGCTCGTCCCCGCTCGCCCCTAGCACAGCAAGGGTCCGGTTCGGGTCGGTTCGGGCTGGTTCGGCAGCGAACCGATTCGTTTGCGCCAGATCGGTTTCAGCTGCGGGCTGGTTCGGGCTGGTTCGGCCGGTCCGGTTTGGACCCCACCAGGCCCCACCGGGGCCCCCCGGTTTGGCCGCCCGGGCTGGATTCGGCCCACCGGTTCGGTTCGATTTGATTGGTCCGCTTCCGACTGGCTCGGTCAGGGCTCTCGTTCGGCCAGTTCGGTTGCAGAAGCCGTCAGTTCATGGCTACCAGTTCGGTTCAGAGCCACAATGCTAACGCGGGATATCAAGGCGGAGCTGGAGCGCTGTGGCTTAGGTGCCATCGCAAATCCCTTGTCGCAGTCCAGGAGGTCGTCGACCCGCGCTTTGATCCCGTCGTGACGGAGCAGGGAAGAGTGTGCGTGCGTGCACGTACACGTGCGCGCTTGTGCGTGCCTCGGGCGACCGCCTTCCGATTCCCCTTGTGAGGTCGGCGCCGCGCGCTCTTGCCGAGCTGTTCCGACCGGGCGCTGGCTCTTCATCCCGCATGTGTTCATCACCCACCAACCCACCCCAACCCAACCTGAAGGCCCCGATTTGCCCTCCATTTCCAGTGGGGGGGGGTCGGGGAACATGGAAAAAACACATATGGAACCCGTACCCCCCCAACCCGAAATTCGGGTCTTCGGGTTGGGTTGGGGTTGTCTGGTAGGCAGTCATGTGTTCCCAGCGAGCGGGGCGCCGTGCGCGGAGTTGCACCGCGCTCTCCTTGGGCAAGGCGGGTGCCTGCTCGTGCGCGCGCCCGTGCGCGCGCGCGCGCCCAGCGCGGCCTCGGCCTCGCGCTGGGCAGGCCGAGCCGAGGCGGTCTCGTGGCGCGTCCAGGCCCGAAGGGCTTCGGCGCTGCTCGCTGTGCCCGCGGCCTGCCTGCCACTGCGGGGCCCAAGTCATACGCCTCCGCCACCACCACCACCACCACCCACCCGCCCCCTCCTCCCCTCCTCCTCCTCCTCCTCCTCCTCCTCCTCCTCCTCCTCCTCCTCCTCCTCCTCCTCCTCCTCCTCCTCCTCCCCCTCCCCCTCCCGGGAACGAGGAGGGGAAGAGGAGGGCGGAGGAGGGAGGGGGGAAGGGAGGGGGTGGCAGTGCACATGTTCTTGGGGCCAGCAGCAAAGGGCTCCCAGCTTCGCCGCCTTCTACTGCGACGAGTACGAGGACACCAGCGCCTTCGGCCACGTGCCCAGCGAGGCGTGCTGCTGGTGCGGCGGCGGCATAGGTCGCGCGCCGGCGTCGGGGGAGACGGGGTGCAGCATCGGCTCGCATGGACGGTGGGTTGGGTGAGATAGTATATGTGCGGTCCAGCTCAACTATTGGAGTAGGGGATCGACTACAGAATTGATTTACCCCAGAATTGATTTCCTGTCGAATTTACGAACGAAACCGTAGAGTGTTCTACAGAGCATTCTACTCATCTTTCGTAGACTGGACGAACACATCAATTCTGGGGTAAATCAATTATGTAGTCGATCCCCTACTCGAACTATAAGGGATACTGCCCGCGGGGCAAGGGTATCGGTCTCTTGCGAGAGCTCTGCGTGCTGATGCTCTGGCCTGAGGGGAGCGACCCATCAGCCATCCTGGCGACATCCGCCGCTCGAGGAGATCGTTTCTTGCTGGGCAGCGCGTCCAGAAGATCTGGTCTGACAGGGTACGAGTCGCTCCGACCGCCGCTGCTTTGATCGCTGTTGTCGAGGCGGCCTTAACAACGACATTCAACTGGCTGGTTCGGGTCCACCTCGGTACCCCGCGGCCCAGTGGCTTTCAGCTCGCGGGACCGCTGAATGTCGCAGCTCGTGCTCTCTTGTCGCGCAGGCGATCGACCGGTCGATATCATCAATCCTGGGATAGGTCGGATCGACGTCGGGCGATGTCGCCGCTTGTTTTGGTAGCTGGCGCCTGTTGGGGAGATCCTGCCGCTGGGCGCTCTGGCTGCCACGGGAACTCGTCAGGCGCCGAGCTCGGGATCGGGGGAGTTGGGGATGGTGGGGCAGGTGGTCGGTATCGTTTAACCAATCCCCATCCCCATCCTCATCCCCTTCGAGACCCCCACGAAGTTACCCCCCCAGTTGGGGATACTCCTCGAAACCCGAAGGGAACGACCCACATCTCCATCTGGGGGGGTAGATCGGCCAGCGGGGCCCAGGCCACGCCGCTGGGGAGGGGGATCGGTGAAAAGATACTCAGGTGGGGGGCAGGCCAGAGCCAGCCGGTTCTGCGTTGGGCTTCCCCCGCGGGGGCGCGCTGCCAGGGCCCTCCCCCGGGAAGCTGGACACGCGCCTGGCGCGGCTGGCCTGGACCAGAGCTGGGTGCTGCACGCGCGGCCGCTCGCCTCTCCGGCGCTCGCCCCTCGCACGGCCGGGGGCACCGGCGCTCCGCGCGTGCATCCAGCAAGAAGGAGGAGGAGGAGGAGGAGGACGAGGAGGAGGAGGAGGAGGAGGAGGAGGAGGAAGAAGAAGGCCTCCGCATGCTCCGCAGGCGAGTCCAGCCGCTTGTTTTCAGCTTCCTCCTCCGCACGACTCGCTCGTGCCTGGGCGTGTCATCCTTCGGCTGCAGCTCCAGTTCACGTCGGCTCTGCTTCGGCACATCCCGAAGAGCTTCTCGCTCGGAGGGCTCCCCCCCCGCCGACCGCAGTCTCCTCCTCATTTCTTCTTCCCTTCCCTTCCGCCTGAGCCGCAATTAGCCTCGCCTGTGCCCCAGCGCAGCCCGCCCGCAACTCGGAGATCAGAGACGCCGCCGACCAACGAGTGCCCAGCTTCCTGGTAAGCTCGGGGCCTCTTGTTGTCTTGTGCGGAGTCGTGCCGTCATGTTGGCGGTCCAAAGTGGGTGGCGCGAGGGGGATGGCATTCTAAGAAGGCGGCGGGGCCTCTAAGACGGCAGGGGGGCTTCTTGGAAGCTCGCCCGGCTTCCAAGAAGCCTTCTGAGAAGCCTCCGGGGCATTCCGAGGAGCCCCCCGCCTTTTGAGAAGCCCCTCCGCCTTCTTCAGTGAGCCGCCCCCCTCGCGCCACCCCCCTTCTGCGCGCCGCCGATCGTTGGGGAGTCGCGGGGCCGCCCTGGGGCGCCGTGCGGCAGCCCAGGGAAGGTCAGGAGGCCGCCACGCGCTGGTGCTGGTACCCAGAAGCCGATGGTCAAGTCGGGCCTGTCCCTCTACAGGAGGAATGTTCAAAAATAGTCAAAAAATAGTCTGGGGACTATCCGTAAGGGCTTCGCCCCCTGCCGCCGGCTCCCTCTCTCGGAGAATGGGCCATGGAAGAGCGAAGTCATGAGGCTTTGGCTTCGTCGTGAAGCAGTGTCGGGACCTGTTTGTTTTTCGACCCTGACCCTGCCGATCTGCGTGAGTGGTACCGCTGGATTTCAGAAATGTGGCAATTCCTCTGTGTTTTTGGACCCTGACCCTGCCGATCTGCGTGAGGGGTGTCGCCGAATTTCAGAAAAATTGGAAATCCTCTGTGCTTTTCGACCCTGACCCTGCCGATCTGAGTGAGGGGTGTCACCGGATTTCAGAAAAGAGGCAAATCACGTGTGTTTTTGGACCCTGACCCTGCCGATCTGCGTGAGGGGTGTCGCCGAATTTCAAAAAAATTGGAAATCCTTAGTGTTTTTGGACCCTGACCCCGCCGATCTGCGTGAGGGGTGCCACCGAATTTCAGAAATGTAGCAAATCCTTTTTGTTTTTGGTCCCTGACCCCGCCGATCTGCGTGAGGGGTGTCACCGAATTTCATAAATGTGGCAAATCGCGTGTGTTTTTGGACCCTGACCCCGCCGATCTGCGTGAGGGGTGTCAATTTTGACCCACCCCAGCAATTCAGAGCATCTGATTTGGGCGTGGTAAAAATGCCCGTTTTGGGCCTCCCCCCCTCGCGCGGTCCATCAACAAGGAACAGTAAGCAGCAAGAAGTCAACAAGGAACAGTAAGCAGCAAGAAACATACTTGTAACAGTGGAAATTGGAAGCTGCAACTGGTACAGGAAACTGCGAAGCTTAGCCCTACAGCCTGGTAGCCCCACAAAGGGGCTGGCTTTTTTTTGTGATTATTTTTTTGACCATTTTGGAGTATTTTTGGAACTATTTTTTATCTTTCCTCCAAAATCCCCCTGTAGGGGGAAAGGCCCGACTTAAGCCTATGGAATCCTGGAGGCACCTGAAGGCCCGGGAGTGGCCCGACGCGTCCAAACAGCTTCTCGATCCTCGCGCCCTCGAGCCCTGCAGGTCTCACCACCACCCGGACGTCGAGCACCGGGACGTCCACAAGCACTGGGACGTCCACCCTGACCACTCCAACGAGCACCGGGACGTCGACAAGCAGCGGGACGTCGAGAAGCACTGTGACGTCAACAGGCACTGGGACGTCAACGAGCACCGGAACGTCCACAAGCACGGGGACGTCCAGGCGGCATTCCCCTTGGGGCGGCCTGACGTGGCTCGTGGTTCTTCCGCTTCTTACGTGCTCGATGATGGGTCCCTTGTGGAGCGCAACCGTCCAGTTTTCGCGCCGAAGACCTCCCATAAACCACCGAAGACCGCCGAAAACTGTCAGAAGATCCCCGAAGAGCGCCAGAAGGTCGCCAGAAGGCCGCAGAAGACCGCCGAAGACCGCCGAAGATCGCCAGAAACCTGGTGAAGGCAGTCGCTGGTGGGTAACAAGGGGTCCATGGTCGAAAACGTAGTGGTTCGTGTCTAATTGACGTGTGGTTCGCAACTGGTTCACGTCCGAGTTGCTTCGCATCTGGTTTGTGAGAGTGCAGGAAGATGGGAGGGATCATACCGTTGATTTGGACGAATGGGATGAGGATCCCAGCCCTGGAAGGGCATAGCATGTGTATCGACCTTGCGCAGTCCGCTGTGGCCTTGTCCCAAACGAGCGTGTCCACCTTAGCGGTTTAAGGGCAGCGCTTAGCCGCTCTAGTCATACAGCCTCGAGATAGAAGTGCTACTCTCCAGGGGTTTCAAGCAACGTCGGAGAAAGATGGACAGAGTATGAGGAAGGTTTCTCTGCACTTCCCTTACGCCCCTTCTGCCCTGACCGTCCCTCCTCTTCTTCGTCTCCCCGCCCCCCTGCGGTCTTTGGGCGTTATGCTGTGGCAGCGTTTCTGGCAAAGCACAGGGCGGGTAGAGGCTGGGCTGAATTCGAGGTTCGCAGACAGAGTAGCGCCCGATCAGGTGTAATTCTATAGAAATCTCCTCCTTAAACCGTGCCGCCTCGTTTCGTCACCCTCCTCGTCGCCCCCCTGCTGTCTCTAAACGTCATCGTCATCGTCATCAGCATCATCATCACCACCACCATTACCCTCACCATCATCATCACCCCCACCATCACCATCATCATCATCATCATCATCATCATCATCATCATCATCATCATCATCATCATCATCATCATCATCATCATCATCATCATCATCATCATCATCATCATCATCATCATCATCATCATCATCATCATCATCATCATCATCATCATCATCATCATCATCATCATCATCATCATCATCATCATCATCATCATCATCATCATCATCATCATCATCATCATCATCATCATCATCATCATCATCATCATCATCATCATCATCATCATCATCATCATCATCATCATCATCATCACACCAACAACAACATCATCATCATCACCATCATCATCATCATCATCGTCGTCGTCGTCGTCGTCGTCGTCGATCGTCGTCGTCGTCGTCGTATTCGTCGCTGGCCTCCTCCCCCCGGTCTGTCCAGATCGACATTGAGCTTGTCGAGCATAACCGTGTCGATGACGTCTGGCACCACTCTGAGCGTGTCGGGGACGTCGGGCACCACCCTGAGCGTGTCGAGGACGACGACGAGCGGAACCTCCTCGACTGGCACGGTGACGCGGAGGCGGAGGAAGACACGGAGAGAGGGTGGGGGAGGCATGAGCGAGGGAGAGCAGCAGGATAAAGTTTCGACCTCTTCTTTTGGTCCCCCGTCCGTTTCTCCCTCTTCGTACCTCGTCGGCCTCACCAACGGTCGGATCGGCCCATTTTCCGAGCAGGAACATCTACGATGGTGCCGCTGCTGCTGATGATGATGCTGATGATGATGATGAGGATGATGATGATGCTGCTGCTGCTGATGATGATGATGATGATGATGATGATGATGATGATGATGATAATGACAATGACGATGACGATGATGAGGATGATGATGTTGATGGTGATGATGATGACGATGCTGATGACGATGATGATGGTGATGATGAATATGACGACGATGATGCTGATGTTGATGACGATGACGACGATGATGATGGCGATGACAGCGACTACGATGATGATGAGGATGACGCAGGTAATGTTGATTCGGGTTGTGATGATGTCATGCTTATGGTGACGATGAGGATTCACATTCCAAGTGTGATGAATGTTCGGATGATGTGGTTGCCGCTGTGGGTGATGAAGACGATTCGGATGTTGTCATTGACGGTAAAGGGAGGATGACGAGGGATGAGGGATGGAAGGAACGAGGGAGGAGGGAGTGCGATAGGGATGATCTGTTCGCTTGCCCAGATGTAGCTTACTCATATCTTGAGGGCTTCGCCCTCTGCCGCTGGCCACCCTTTAGACTGCTTGCTTGGCCAGGCCCGGTCGGTCGGTGGCTTGGTTGGTTGTCTTGTCGGTTGGCTGGCTGACAGCTCGGCTGATTGGCTTCTTGTCTGAATCGATGGTTGGCAGCTGGTTCGGACTGGTTGCTGGCTGGCTGGTTGCGCGCGTCCGTAGTAAGTCATGAAGGATGGTGGCCTACGGAGCGCGATTCCATCGACACTTGCGAGGCTTCGCGGCTTCGGGAGCGCGCATCCCTAGCCATCTTCGGGGATTCGTGGCCTCGGGTCCAGAGCCGAGCTTTCACGAAACAAAGGGGTCCCTCCCAGAACTTTAGCGGATGTGATTCCAGCTTGGGCACCTGCTGGTTTTCGGGCCGGGGCCTTCGTTGGGCCATTTTGGCAGCCTCGGTGGACTGCCCTGACTGTCTGGGAGGCCCTGGAGAGGCTTCGAGCGCCCCGCGACCCAGGGAGCCTCGAGAGGGGGGCGGTGCATGCAGGTGAATGTGACGAGGAGGGTGGGGGGGGCGGTCCCGTGGACGACTTACATACACCTTACCTGACAGCACTTGGCACTCTACCACGTCTCAACGTGTCACGCGGCACGGTTGGCGAATATTCGGTTCTTTTTTCTTTCCTCTTCTTCCTTCTCCTCCTCCTCCTCTTCCTCGTCGTGCTCCTCGTCCTCCTCGGGGAGGGTGTTCGGCCAGAGTGTGGCACAGGGCCTCCTCCGTCTCTTCATCCTATTCCTCATCATCCTACTCATGTTCATCCTGATCCTCATAATTACTCCTGTTCCTGTTCCTATTCCTCATCCTCTTCCTCCTCCTGCTGCTGCTGCTGCTGCTCCTCCTTCCCCTCCTCCTCCTCCTCCTCCTCCTCCTCCTCCTTTCCCGACCGTCCGACCAGCTCTCCCTTCCTTCTCACTGCTCCTTTCACCTCCAGCCATTGATTTCTTCCCTCGCCCCCTCCTTCTCCTCGCATCCTCTGTCTTCGTCCACGCTATCCTTATCTCATTCTCCTCCACAGCTTTATGCAAGTGAACGCCCCCGAGGGGGCAGGCACCGCCGCCCTACGTTTTGTATCGTGCGAGAGGGGCGGTTCAAGACAGCCCCAGAGGGCTCAACACATTGAAAATTGCCCGAGGGGGCCCCAAGAAAGTTCCAAGAGGCTCCGGCAATGATCCAAAACCGCCAGTTTGTTTTGGGGTCTCAGAGGGCGCGCCCAAGTTGGCTCGCGCCCAAAGGGCGGCCAGACGGCCCAAAGTGGGACCAAGAGGCCTTCAGGACAGCCCAGGAGGCCTTGGAGATGTTCCAACGTGGCCAGAGAAACCCCTAGAGTGTCACAAGAGGCTACAAGAGAGCTCGAAGAGGCGCAAAGAGAAGCCCGAAGCAGCCCAAGTCGTCAACATCCGTAGGTTTTGGAACGTTGTTAGCATTTCGCGGTTTTCTGCTCAGCATGGCTCGAATAAGGCTTCGGAAGGGTCCGGCACGGCCCCCAGAGGCTCCTAGGGACGGGCCATGTGAGCCCAAGTGGAACCCAAGAGGCAGTTTTTGTTTAGATTCTGGTAAGTTTGCTTGCATGGAGGGGGGGAGGGGGGGCGTGGTGAAGCCCGGACGGGAATCTGGACTTCATGCAAGTTGGGACTCACTTTCGCGCCTGTTTGGCCCAGCGCTGTTGAAAAAGGTGGCGCAGGGGGGCGGGGAATGCCGCCATGCAAGTAAACTTGCCCGAGTCTAGAGAAAAACAGCCTCCAGAGGCCTCAAACAGCTCCTGGAGGTGTCCGGAAGCCTCCCGTGAGAAGGCGCGCTGGAGTTGAGGGCAGAGTGGCCGCCGGCGGACGCCCGTCACACAGCTGGGACCCCTGGGCTGGCGCAAGGAGCAGGCCGCGGGGATGATGACCTCAGGAGGGGTTGTCGGCAGCAGATGACTGGAGCCTTGCATCTCCTCGGCATGTCGTTTTCAGAGTGCATGATCGCTCGGTAATCGATGAGGAATCGCCAGTTTAGTATAGTGTCGATTTAGCGTCGACTTAGCGTCGATTTAGCGTCGATTAGCGTCGATCGGCGTCGGTTATCGTCGATCCGCAAGGGTCAGCAAGATGGCATGGGAGGCTCCCATGAGTTGCTGGAGCACTCTTCGGGAGGGTATATGTACGAGTAGTTCGTAGGTAAGAGGGTTGAGGGGACGCAGTCCTTGCATAGCATGGGGCGGAGATCTCACACGCCGCACCCAGTGGGGCGGCGGATCGCTTCGCTGCGATTGGGAATGTGTGCGTGTGCTCGGGGCCAACGGGAGATGTCTGGGAGGCACTCGATGGCTTTTCGGGGCACTCTTGGGACCAAGCTTGGTCGGTGACCCGATGCCTCTTTGGGAGGCTTCTTGGGATCTCTTCGAAAACATCTCAGGGGCTTCTTGTCGGCTTCTCGGCGGCAGTGGACCAGATGCATCTTTGGTAGGCTTCTCGGGTTCCCTTCGGAGGCCTCTCGGGGGCTTCTTGGCGACAGTCTGTAACCTCCTGGGGCCTCTTGGGGGCCTCTTGTGGCACCTTTTTGGGCCTCTGGGGGCCACTTTGGGGCTTCTTCGGGGCCTGTTGACGGGCTCGGTCGCAATTGTTCATCTTCAGGGCAGGCTCGACATGTGAGTTTGGATTCTTCCTGGGGCCTTCTTGGGGGCCTATGCAGTTCAGTTCTCGTGGGAGGCCTCTTGGGCCGTCTTGGAGTCTTCTTGGGACGTCTGGGGGCTGTCCTGGGAGCCTCTCAGGCTGACTTGGGGCAGTCTTGGCGGCCTCCTGGCCCGTCCTGGGTGGTCGGAAACCCGCAAATGTGGTACCGCCCAAATCTTTCAGAATCCTTATAACATCAACAAGAATAATCAAGGAAGTTTGCGGGCCGTACCCACGGAGGAGGAGGAGGAGGAGGAGGAGGAGGAGGAGGAGGAGAGGGAGGCGGAGGGGAGGAGGAGGAAGAGGAGGAGGAGGATTAGGCGGCGGAGGAGGAGGCGGAGGAGGAGGAGGAGGAGAATAATGCGTATGATGATGATGATGATGATGATGATGATGATGATGATGATGATGATGCTGATGATGACGATGATGATGATGATGCTGCTGCTGATGATGCTGATGCTGATCATGCTGATGATGATGCTGCTGCTGATGCTGATGATGATGCCGATGATGATGCTGCTGATGACGATGATTCTGATCATTATGATGACGATGATGGTGATGCCGATGATGATGCTGCTGATGCTGATGCTGCTGCTGCTGATGATGATGATTCTGATGATGACGATGATGCTGATGCTGATGGTGTTGATGATGCTGATGATGTTGATGATGCTGATGATGCTGATGATGCTGATGATGGTGCTGTTGCTGATGCTGCTGATGATGCTGATGATGCTGCTGATGATGATGCTGCTGATGATGATGCGGATGATGATGCAGCTGCTGATGGTGATGATGCTGATGCTGATGATGCTGATGATGCTGATGATGCTGATGATGATGATGCTGATGATGGTGCTGCTGCTGATGATGCTGATGATAATGATGACTACGCTCATGATGATTCTGCTGCTGATGATGATTATGATCCTTATGATGACGATGATGATAACGATGAGGATGATGCTGATGCTGATGATGCTGCTGATGATGATGATGATTCTGATGATGATGACAATGATGATGATGATGATGATGATGATGATGATGATGATGATGATGATGATGATGATGATGATGATGATTATGCTGCTGCTGCTGCTGCTGATGATGATGATGATGGATGATGATGATGATGATGATGATGATGATGATGATGATGATGATGATGATGATGATGATGATGATGATGATGATGATGATGATGATGATGATGATGATGATGATGATGATGATGATGATGATGATGATGATGATGATGATGATGATGATGATGATGATGATGAGATGAGGAGGAGGAGGAGGAGGAGGAGGAGGAGGAGGAGGAGGACGATGAGGAGGAGTTGGAGGAGGAGGAGGAGAAGGATGATGAGGAGGAGGAGGAGGCGGAGGAGGAGGAGGAGGAGGAGGAGAATGAGGATGAGGAGTAAGGGGAGAAGGATGAGGAGGAGGAGGAGGAGGAGGAGGAGGAGGGGGAGGAGGGGGAAGGGGGGGGATGCCACATACCCACCTCGGCACGTCTTTCGCGACGTCCTCGAATGCATCCCAGCCCAGTTGACGTCGACATCTGCTTCCTCTTTGTCCTCTTCTGCGACATCGAGGCGCCCTTTTTATCCGCGCGTGCCCAGACCTCCGACACGTTTTGAAATTGTTTTCATTGCTTTGATGCTTGCAATGCTGGTTTTCACGATGCGGGCTCCCAGACGTCTTGCTCCCTGGACCGGCTGTGTGCCGCGTTTCTCTTTGGATGGTTCTGGGGGTGGAGCGGCTGAGAACTGCGCACGGACAGCCTCCAGATGTGGCCCAGGCTTGCCTCACCAGGCCGCCCAGGTCAATCTAGGGACGGTCTCCGCACCGCCCTTGCGCCGCTTCTGGCGGTGCTCCTCTTGGGCGTTCCGCTCCGCGGGGACTCGGGCGTAAGGCCAGCCGGGACTTCCGGGGAGAGGCGGAGTCCGCCGAGGGCCAGCAGATCTCACATCCGACGCCCGTTTACAGTCTGCAGGCGATCGCAAGCATGGATCAAGGGGGCGTGGGTTAGCGATGGGTCCCGTTTCCATGGGAGATCGCGGATTTCCGCCGCCGAGCGAGGCGGCACCGGCCACGTTTTTTCGGGAGGGCACCTCCCCCGATCCATGGCTTTGGCGACCGCGTGCCAAATCCACGGATCGCTAATCCATGTCTGCGCGCCCCCGAAGTCTGCGCAGCCACGCGGGGCGCTCCAGAAAGGGCCTCGCCTGCGAGTGCTCGACCTCTGCCTCGGTGGAAGGCCGGCGGAGGGCGGCGGGAGCACGGCGGGGCCGCCCTCGCTGGGCGAGGCTGGCCGAAGGCCGGCGGACGCCAGCGGTGGGCCCATCCAAAGAGGTGCACACTTTTTTGGGTTCTGGGTTTCTGGCACGAGCCAAGGCGCCGACGACGACGCCGAAGGCGCAGGCGGATCAGGAGCAGGAGGGCCGAGAAGGGGACCAACCTGCACATCCACTCAGCGTCATCTTTCGCTCACCGCCTTCACATGCACACGGCCTGGCCGTTGGTAATAGTCTGTCGCTTTGAGCGCATGTGCAGCAGCAGAGCGAGCTTGCACTACTTCAGAGATCAATTCGAGCGTAAATTGTTTTCTGTAACGGGTGTTTCTCTCGGTTGCTTGGATTCAGCTAAAAGGCTGAACCCCGCGAAACCGAGTGCAACGTCATTTCTGGTCTTGCCCTATTTCCCCGAATTTGAAGTGGCGAACTTGTACAAGACCAT